TTTTTTTTTTTTTTTTTTTTTTTTTTTTTTTTTTTTTTCCAGCTGGGACCTTCCCTGGTACTTGCACGGCCGTCCCGCCGGGGAAAACAGGGTGACTCAGGTGGCCCGGCTGGTAGCCTAGTATATATATATATACAGGGTCACCAGCCCGTACGTACGCAGGTCCCCGGGCAGACCTCCGTACGTACCGGCGTTCGGCGCCCGCCAAAAATCATTTCGGGGCCTAAAAATAATTATGTCTTTCTGAATTGTTTTTTGTGAGTTCTCCATGACGTGAGGTAAATGCCTATAAAGTTTCAAGTCATTTGGCTAAGCCAAATAATAATTAAAAATCGCCAAAGATGGCGGTGTAAAAACGTGCTCGCCCACGTATTTTTTCACTTTTTACTTTTTGTTTTCATTTTAGTTCGGGGTCTTAACAATTTTATTATTTTTTGAAACGTTTTTAGTGGGTTTTGTATTATGTGAAGTCCACATCTGCAAATTTTCATGGCTTTCAGCTAAGCCAAAAAAAAATTAAAATTCGCCAAAGATGGTGGTGTCGAAAACATGCTCGCGCACTCACTAAATTTAATTCTCTTTTTATTTTTATTTATTTTTATTATTAGTATTTATTTTCCGTATTTGATTTTTGTTTCAAATTTGGTGAGGAATTCGGATGTAATGCTCAGGCAAATCTTGTTGAATTTAGTTTTCTCCATAACATATCTTTTTTTTCAGATTTTTTTGATGATTTTTATTTATTTATTTATTTTTTGGGTCCTCGTTCGGCCCGAACGGCCGAATGCATCCCCAAGGGGTCCCATACGTTCGGGCGTTCGTCCGGTCCCGAACGCCGGTTACCCTGTATATATATGGCCCCTAAGCTGACCCCCGAACGGTCGGGCGTTCGGGTCCCCGTACGGGGCCCGAACTCGAAGGCGTTTGGACCCCGCAAAAAAATATTTTGGTACCTAAAAAGTATTATTTGTTTCTGATTTTGTTTTTGTGAGTTCTCTGTTATGTAAGATACCTGTCTCTCAATTTTGAAGTCATTCTGTTAAGCCAAACAATAATGAAAAATCGGCAAAGATGGTGGTGTCAAAACTTGCTTTCCCACTTACTAATTTGTTTTTTTTCTCTTTTCACTTTGTGTTTTCCCTTTATTTCAGGGCTTGAATTTTTTTTATTTTTATTTTTAACTTTATTTGTAGGTTCTCTATTATGTAAGATACATATGTATAAAATTTCATGGCATTTGACAAAGCCAAAAAAAAATGAAAAATCGCCAAAGATGGCGGTGTCAAAAACTTGCTCGCCCACGCAATAATTTCATTCTCGTTTTATTTTTTCTTATTTTCATTAATATTATTTATTTTCCGTATTTGATTTTTATTTCAAATTGGGTAAGGAACTTGGATGTACTGTTGAGGCAAATGTTGTTTAGTTTATTCTTCTGCATGACATATTTTGTTTTCAGAATTTTTGAAAACTATTTGTTTGTTTTTTTGTTTTTTTTTTTTG